AATACAATACAACATATATATATATATATATATATATATATATATATATGTTGTATTGTATTGTATTATATATATATATATATATATATATATATATATATTCTAATATATTATTATATTATATTATATTATAATATATAAATATATAAATATATATTGTAAATAATTACAATATATTTAATATTATATATATATATATATATTAATATAATATAATATATATATAAATAAATATTAATTAATATATATAATATATAATAAATATTAATATAATATATTACAATATATATATATTATATATATTGTAATATTAAATTATTAAATATATTGCAATATTAAAATTATTAAATACATATATACAATATAACAATAATACAATACAATATAAAACAACCGACAGTGAATTGGTGAAATTAATTCCGGATTCTCATGAACTTTTGGCTAGGAGTGTAGACAATTATGATTAGCGCATAGAGCACGCCGCGGCCCCGTATCCCGTAGGTAGATGAATGAAGTCGACGGATGCGGAATTATCGGCCGCAGGAGCGGGCGAAAAAAAACAACTTCTTTCAATGAATAATTTGTGGCCGTAGCGTAATCTGCTGGCGAGTGTATGCATCGCGCACAGTTACCGACCGGACGTCGGAGTTAAGAGCCAGATTCCGACCGCAGACCGCAAAACCGCAGGATCACGGGAGTTCGAGATATCGAGCATTCTTTCCCCCCGCCCAACCCCGTGGATCTCCTTGATCCTAATATACGCGACCGCGTGCAGGATCGGCGCCCAGGAAAATTCATCTCTGCTGCTTGGATGCAGGGGTTTAACCGAATCGCCGAGGATTACCCCAAAAATCCCGGCGTTGCGACGGGTGCGCCGAAAACACGGTGCACGTAGAAACCCCTTCCCAAATGCTTCCTAAATTCTCCATATTGAAACGCGCGAAACGAAGGAAAAATATAATCCTAATTAAAATCGACGAAATATTCAATAAAATTGCAGCTCAAATTGCTGTTTGTTTCTGCTTTTCCTTTTTTTTTTAATGTAGAAAAATGCACTGGATGCAATAAGACAAAAAGAGAAAAAATATAATTTCTGTAATCAGATATTTTCGAAGCAATTGCAAAAGACTGGAGATGCGTAAAAATTTAGTTTTCGTCGAAAATATCTCAGTGACTCAAAATGCATTAGTGGGCTTCGAAGATTATTTTTTGTTATGTAATAAAATCTGAAATCTACCCATAATTCACTGTAATAATTAATAACCAACGCGCCGATCCTCCTGCGCAATGGTACCCCAAGGATGCGCCATTATTCCACCGACATTGAAAACGATATATTTCTACGACGAACAATCGAATATTATTTATTTGACCACGGTCGGATCCTTCGTCGAATAAACGTCGAATAAATAATAAAGGAATAAAATAAAAAAATTGAAAATATTTAACGGGAAGTATGTTGACAGGACTCACCCTACTCTGTAGTCCGTGCACGACGGTGGCGGGTTCCAAACGGTGCTATGGCAGAGCATCCAATCGCACCAGATCTAGAACAAAAAGTGCCAAGGATGAACGATAGCCCCGGCTGGAATGAGAGGAAACGTTCCTATTTATAGAAAGGCTAGGGAGACGAGATTTCATTTCACGCGGCCAGCGTTCATCTATCTTTTGGAAAGTGAATCGTATTCCGGCCGTCCCGTATCGCGGCTACATTATCGGCAATATTAATGGTCACGCGTAGGACAAGAGCAAAACTCGCTATTATATTCCCATGACCAGGACGGCGTTTCGATACCTATCGCACTATTCGAGGAATGTTCACTTGCCTGCAGCGATTCCGGCGATAAACAAATTCCGCCGCATACCGCGTGGTTCGCTAAATTTCGAACGGTATCGTTCAAGCACGCAACAGTTTATAATTAATTACCGCGCGTTACGCATAGCCTTAACTGCACCCGGCTGCACTCCCGCGAACGTACAATTGGCAGCCGCAAGGCCCACCGCAAGGCCCACAAAACGCAAGAGGGCGCTGCCCCCGAAAACCGCCAGCCGCGCATTTTGAACGTAAAATTTTAAATTATATATATATATATATATATGCACTATATATATATATAGTGCATTTTAATCGATCATTTTACCAGCATAATTATACGGTAACACGAACTGACACGATATTGTCTCGCATTTTCCAAAATAAATGTAAGAACAGGATTTTACAGGACGTTACTACTGAATAATTAGAATCGAAATCATAAGACGCATGATACCGAGCGCGTTTTCAACCTTATTTCATTTTACAGATCTCTAAAAAGTTGGTTACACTGAAATATGCCAGTAGAATAATGAATTTTTAAATCTGGACCAATAATTTCGAACGAGTTTGTTACAAAAAACTTGGCATGATCATTTAGCATTTAGCATTTACCTGCGACACATAGTTAATACATGCATCTCCGCGAGAATTCTACATAGAATTGTCTGTCGTCAATTTCTACAATAAATATCGCCGAACGGATGATTAATAACACAATAGAACAATGTGTCAAGGTATCGAGAGAATCTATCGAACGGATTGACATCGTCGACAGCCAGAAACGATCCTGGGCACGTGTCACAGGGAGATGCGACGCGAGAACAATCCGCGACTGTTCCGCAACAGCCGAAACCAGGAAGAGCCGATGACGCCGCCGCGATTCCAATAGCTTGTCATAGGCTGACCTTTATCGATAGAACGTGCGTGCATAGCTTACGTGCGATAGGTGCATTAATCGCGAACGCCGGATTGCATAATAAGTCGAGACACGAACGGACCCAGGCCCGGGGAACTTGACAACGGCCACCGGCGGACCCTTGCGTGGGTGCGAACTAAGCGCGATGCTTCATAAATTCTCGGCCGGTTAGGCTCGCGAACGCGACACAGGATTATGGCGATGACGAGGCGGCCGACAATCCGATCAAGTTTTACGAAATACAGTAATGTCTCCCTAACTGACGCTCAGATTCTGCACAAAAATGGACAATTTGGGAGGAGGAGGTACGATTATTCGAGCCTTGCGACTCGTTTTTATAATTGTGGACCATTTATAACTATTGGGTTGGCAACTGAGTAATTGCCGATTTCAGTTATAGATGTCTCTCACTCCCATTTTTATGATATCCGTAAATGTTATATTATAAAATTATTATTATTATTATTATGTTAATTTTTATTATCCGTGAATGTTAGCAACTGGACAAATTGAATGCAGCGGTCAAGGAAAAGCGACCAGAATCGGTCAATCGTAAAGGTGTCATTTTCCAGCAGGACAATGCTAGGCCGCACACGTATTTGTCCTCTCGGCAAAAATTGATGGATATTGGTTGGGAATTGATGTTACACCCACCATATAGCCCTGATCTCGCGCCATCAGATTACCACTTATTTCGATCCCTGGACAACTCCCTTCGTGGTAAAACTTTTAACGACGATGACGCTGTAAAATCTCACTTAACTCAGTTTTTGGCCGAAAAGGATCAGACTTTCTACGAGCGTGGCATTTTCAAGTTGTCAGAGAGATGTCAGACAGATTAAACTTCATTCCAAGTAAAAAAAATTTGTTTATTTCATTGAACAAATCGGCAATTACTTAGTTGCCAACCCAATATAATAATAAACCAAGACTCGAATAATCGTATCTCCTCTTCGCAAATTGTCCATTTTTGTGGTTAATCTGGATGTCAATTAGAGAGACATTACTGTACTTTGCACGAAGATTTCGCCGCTATTCGACGACGGAAATTACCCTGCGAGGAAGATCATCGATATTTTTTTAAATAACTTCGTAAAACGACGTTCGAACCATCGACGAAAGCGAAAGTGAGTGATTTTTACAAGATTTTATGGTAGTCACGATTAAATTCAATTTTTATGCCGTTCTAAAACGATTTATTTCCAAAATTGCTTTAGATCAACGTTAATCCGCCTTTTAAGCTCGACAATAATTTCTATAGAAGCTGTCAGAAAATTGAAATCGAACGTTCGAGCTCTTTTTCAACGTTTTTTAAAGCCACGAAAATCGAAAAACTTTTGCATATTTGCGTCGGTGAATTTCAAAGATGCGCGCTCACACGGAAATTAATATTCTGAATAATTTAAGAAACTGAATAATTAGGGTCCAGATAGGATTATTATTGAAAAGTACACGGAACCATGATAGATCTAATATTCCGCGATTCCGATTATCCGCCTCGCGCGATTAAAACGGCGCGGTTTTTCCCCGGTACGGTGAAAGTTTCTCGGAAAAAGGGGATCTTGATAGGCGGGTCCCATTAGATATGCCATAGATAACGGAAATACCTTGATAGCTGGTAAAAGGACTTGCATGTCCTCGCTAACAACCATCCGCGACTCTTCGCCGCTGTCCAACTGAGACTTGAGCAAGGACACGCCACGTTCTAAAATCAGATTGAACATCTGCAAGGATACGACCAGTGCCCTTTCTTGGACCTCGGACCGGTACCCCTGCTCCATTTGGGCATCTGAAACAAACAGACGGAAAAATCGAACCGTTAGCCAACATGGACGCGACATTTCAACTCGCTCGCTGCCGAAACAGTTAGCTTCAATCCAGCGTGGAATTCTCAACTTTGCGCCGGGAACTCGCGGTTTGATGGAACGCGAACTCGGCTGCGCGCCGCTCGGACGGATCTATCTAAAACAAGCCTATAGCACGCTCGTTTCCGTGAATACCTGCTGGAACATGTTGCATTACCGTTTTCATTACATCGCGAAATGTTTCCGTCAGCTAGAACCGCTCTGTTCCGTTCGCGCTTCGATCAAATCTTTACCGTTGATCTTTAGTAGCCGTTGAATTTGATTTACAACCGGTGCGAAGATTTCAACCCCTCGACCAGTCCAGCTCGCGACACCGATTTCTAATAATAACCTGTCGAGTACGAATGTTATTCCGTTTTTTTATTTTTTTTTATTTTTTTAAGTCGAAATAAAATTATATTATTATAATATTATATAATATATTATATATATTATTATATATTATTATATATAATATTAAATATATTATTATATTATTATATATAATATTATATAATATATTATAATATTAATATCTCTTGTCGTTAACATTTAATCGCCGAAGCAAACGTGGTCGCGCTATGAATAACAATTTTTGTTTCTCCCTTAAGAACTTATTTATTACAATCGAAAAACACATAATCGTTGTGACTGCGAAGATAATGGCACCGCGAGGAGTTAATTAATGGTAGAATGAAAACGATGGAACTGGTTCTTCGTTCTGTAGAATTCTTCGAGCTGTGCGGATCTATGCGCGACATAAAAATATTTGTTGTACTTCGAAACGAGCGGCGTTGTCAAACAAATTGTTTCACCGCTTTCTCGAGATTCTATCGCGATCTAAAATAACGCGTTGATCTTCAGCTCGTCGCTGTAGTCGTAAATGCGTAAAAACCGCGGTTATATTCGTTGCTCAACTCGACAGCACTTCGATTAATTTTTATAGATTTCGAGCCGTCGGTGTAAACTTATATTATCTTGTCGCGGATAACCGTCGACGTTGCGCTGGTGAAATGTTTCAATTTTCTTCAATTTACGATCGACGATTAGGATTATTGATAGTTCTATAAAAGTAGGATTCGCGGTGATTGATTGAATATATGTATCCAAAGAAAGGAACTTCATTCAATTGATTCTCCGTGAATGTACTTTTACAACTGTCGATAATCCTGATCGTCGATCGTTAATTGAAGAAAATTAGAACACTTTTCAGCGTGGTAACGTCGCCGATTATCCGCGACAAGATAATATAAGTTTACACCGATTGCTCGAAATCTATAAAAATTAATTGAAGCGCTGGCATGTCCGAGTTAAGTAACGAATAGACCGTGGATTTTACGCATTTATGACTACAGCGGCGAGCTTGACGCGATGGTAAGATCGTTAGAATTTAAAAAAAAGGACGAACAATTTGTTATATGCAATATATATTATATTGTATTATATTATATTTATATATATTGTATTATAGAATATATATATATACCTCTAAAACCGATTTTATTTTATAATAAATATATATATAATAAATATATTTTATAACAATAAATACAATGGCCCAGACTTTCAGCGATTTTTATTGCAAACATATACATATTTATACAAGGTGTCCCGAGAATGTCTCGCAATCCGGAAATGAGAGGTTCCTGAGGTCACTCGAAGCAACTTTTTCCTTTGCGAAAATTTTCTTCGAGGCTTCGTTTACGAGTTATTAACGAAAAACACTGACCAATAAGAGGCGAGCTCGGCTGGCGCGCGGCGGCCCAGCCAACAAGTGCGCGGAGCCTAGTTGGCTCGGCTGTCTCGCGTCAAATGTTCTCGCCTCTGATTGGTCACTGTTTTTCGTTAATAACTCGTAAACGAAGCCGCCGATTGCATTTTCGCTAAGGAAAAAGTTGCTTCAAATGACCTCACGAATCCCCTACTTTCGGATTGCGAGACATTTTTGGGACACCCTGTATATATATTACAATAAAAATCTTGAAAGTCCGGGCTAAAGATCGCTGAAAGTCTGGGCAATTATATTTATCGTTATCCCCATGAAATAAAATAAAATCGCCTTCAGTGGTCCGCGAAGCTAGTGTTAAACAAACTAGAATGGCTCGTCAAGTCGTAAACCTAAATTACCGATCGAAGGGCAACGGGAGTTGCCCATCGGCGAGCCCTCCCTAAAGGCACCGGCAAAACTATTTTTAAGGATCGATCATCGCGGAGAGCTAAGCTACTGTTTACGGCATCGCGGGGTAGTAAACGCGAGGGTACGTCGAACAAATCGATGCGGGTACGATTACTCGCGTGATTCCGTGTAATTGTAGCAAAGGCGAGCAGCTTCTGGTTTCGCGAACCGGTGGCTACGAGGGAGGGGGGAAAGGGGAAGAGGACGAGGCGCAGCAAGAAAATCGGCGTAGAGACCCTACCGTGCGATTAATACCGAACTCTGGAAATGTTTGGCCTCCGTAACAGAAGAACACGCGCGGAGCGAAGAAAGCGAACTAAAAATTACGCGAGGAAGCAAGGAGGGTGAGGGGCGAGGGAGGGAGACGCGGAAGCGAATCCCGGCCGAGGAAGACCAAGCTTTTCATTATCTCGTATATCCATCGCGGGTAATCGGCATAGCGAACATTTTAACGTCGTTCCCAGCGGGTTGGGAACGAGACTAACAGAAACCGTGCAGCCGATCGGGCGAAACGAGCGGGGAGAAGGCCCGGCTACTTCGCGAAGGCGACATTGTGCGGCACCTTTCATCTAGGATCACCGCGCGACTATCTTCGTCCCCGAGCTCTGACCACGCCGAACATCCATCGACGACGTTCGTTATTGATCCGGCCGTAAGCCATCGCGGAATTTCAACCAGGATCGGTTCCGACGAAAATTGAAAACGCCTGCTCGCCTGTCCCCTTAATTATGTCCGGATGCAGCGTCGCGAAACGAGAAAAATGACCGCGTTAATCGCAACGTATTAGAGCAGAATAGACGTTCGCTCTCTCTCTCTCTATCTCTCTCTCGCAATAGATTCGGTAGGTTGAAAATAATGGAGCGATATTTTTGCAATGTTTCTAGTTGCTCGCCTGTCCCCTTAACCCTTTGCGCTCGAAGCCATTTTAACTGTAAATCTAGATTAATTTTTCTGATTTACGGTATTTCCATTTTATACGATGTGCATTTTATGCGTATGAAATTTAGTTTTTTGACTCATACGACAATTAGACTTTTGACGATGTTTTTACGTCTAGATTTTTGTAATATAAAAATTATCTTGGAACATGATGTACCAATTTTTTAATGGTGCCTCAGAGAGTTTAACCCTTTGCATTCGAAGCTATTTCAACTGTAAATCTAGAATAATTTTTCTGGCTCATAGCATTTTTATCTTATACGACGAAGTGCATTTTATGCATATGAAATTGACTATTGTGACTCGCGCAACAGTTACGCCCTTAACGATTACTTAAATCTAAATTTTGTTGATATAAAAATTATCTTAGAACGTGATTTAACAAATTTTAATGGTGTCTCAGAGTCACCGCTCGAGTGCAAAGGGTTAATTATGTCCGGATGCATCGTCGCGAAACGAGAAAAATGACCGCGTTAATCGCAACGTATTAGAGCAAAATAGACGTTCGCTCTCTAATAGACGTTCGCAACAGATTCGGTAGGTTGAAAATAACGGGGTGATATTTTTGCAACGTTTCTAGTGTTTCTTAGATTGAAATATTAAGAAATGCTGTATTCTTTTCTGTTTTGGAACTCTTGTCGATGCTCGTTTGAAGCAAATATTGGTGTAGAAAGATCAAATATAAGTTAATTGAGGATGTTCATTCATCTTCTGGTTTCATTGTACTTTTTCTACGTGTCTCGTAAGAAACTGGAATCTTTTGGAAGTTTATTTAAAATTGCACAGTTATTCATTTTAATTAGAAATGCTTGAAATTCGCGAAACTTCGCAGTCTAATCGCTGAACTTGCTGCACAAGAATGCTACATATTTTGTGAAACAACGTCGAAAATCGCGACTTACTGCGAACGATGCTCATGTAATATGAAAGTACAATGCTCTGCGAATTTAACAGTGAAAAAGTACAAATCAAAAAAAATTCTTACAAATTGCTTTAACCCTTTAATGCACAATTTAAAAAAAAACCGACCAAAAAAATCAATTTTTTTTATCTAAGAAAATACATATTTGGACCTTAATTTCAATAAATATGTAAAAAAAATGCAAAAATTACTAAAAATTCAATAAAAATAGTGGATAAATAATTATAGTGAATATTGAATCGCATTGCAGATCGAATTTTGTACCCATCATACTGTTTTTCAATTAATATAGGTAACATAACATAAGTTGCGACGCCGACCGTATATATACGGGTCTGCACGCCCGTGTTAATACGTTTCTGCGCGTTAAGGGGTTAAACTAGGGGTGTCAAACTCGCGGCCCGAGATGAACATTTTTGCGGCCCAGTCAATATATCCGACGCAAAGTAAAAATAAAATAGAAATGTGAATTAGAAATTTTGAAAGTAGTCTCGGCCAATAAAATTTCTCCCGAAATAGGAAAGATAGTATCAAAGAAGAGATGTGAAGTATCAGGACGTAAACAATAATTTTTTATATATGTTTATTACAATGTATTAGTCAATATAAAAATATTTGTTTCTATGAACATTGATTTTTTTTGCGACCCACCTAAAGTTAAGCATTGTTTATTTGGCCCAAGTTAGCTTTTGAGTTTGACACCCCTGCTTTAAACAATTGCTTCAAACAATATCCAACGAGCGAAGCCTAGTTGGATAATTTCAGGTCAGCTATTATGTTACGTGCAAGAATCGAAAAATTTCAAGAGTTTTACTGCAATTAGAGTTCACCCTTTTCTCTCAACATTTTCCATGAACATTATTTCATATATAGAAATATCTATTAGAAATATCTATTGATTCATAAGA